ACCATAAGGACGTATTACCAACTTTTACACACTTCTAAACTCATGCACGAGCATGTGAAAGTTCTGGTGGGAAAAATGCTGACCCTGAACAGAAAACCTAAAGGGTTTATTTTTAATTTATTTCTCTTGAAAGCAGATAAAAAACAAGAAAATTATATGTTCAAACGTGCCAGTTGTTCGCCGGCATTATCATTTATACTTTCGGAAAAGAAAAACATGTTTTCAGGTTCTAGCATAAACGATCTAGCAAAAATGAGAGCAAAAAAAAAAAATTTCAAAATAAACTGGACTTGTTAAAGCTGCTTTTATTCATTTCCCTCTGCTGATTGTTTATGAGGAACATTTGTATGAATTATTAGCCTTATTCCACAGCTAATTCAAGTTATTATAGGGGATAAGGATTTTTGGCTTTGACTTAGTGTTACTAACTGCCAAGATGTTGATAATTATCAAGATTGCTCCGACAGTTCTGTAGAAACCGGATTTTAGTGATGTTACTGGAGTGCATTCATATTGCCAGGCATAGTTATGCCAGATTCCATTGTTTTAAGTTGCATCTCCACAGTCAGCATCTAACACATCTGTACGATGTAACTGTGCCGGATATACAACGCCAGAAACAAATAACGCTTAGGGGCTTCCTAAAAAATTTACTTCATGGCGTTTGGCCTAACAGCCTGAAATAAGCAACTGTAAATCAATTAAGCAATTATACCGTCTGAAATAAGCAATTATAACCGGAAAGCTGGTGTGTCGTCTTATTCAAACGTTGTATTCAAATAATTGTTAGCTAGAAAAGAGGTTCATTGGACCGAGACATATTTGTTTGAATACCTGAAGTTCCTAACAACTGAATCTGAAATCATGCAACCTTCGCAAGGACTTGAATTTACAAATAGGAAATTTAAGTTTTGAAATTCCGTGCATCCGGAACACATCAACTGTTATAGCATCTAGCCTGAAAGGAGGGAAAATGAAGATTATATCAAAGAACAAAAATTGTTTGCTGAAAGGATAAATCGCTCAAATGCCGGACACTTTAATATTTTTTTAATTTTCCACAAAAATACAAGTGATTTCTCGATAGCTCGTATTTGATGAAAACTTTTTGTAGACACAAACAAAACTTTAGTGCTCTTTTTTCAATAATATAGCACTGAAAATCAGTAACGAATATGAAAGCTTGCCATATACACGACTTTCAGCTGAAAATATTCAAGTAGGCGATAACGTTGTATTTAGGGCCCTAAACAAATACAACATTCAAATATCACTTTGTGCATAGCTAGTGCCTGCGCTGAATCGATCCTGTTTGGTCTGAAACACTTTCCAAGATTCGAAGAATTTGATTAGAAATTAAATTAACAGAAAGTCTACATGCAAAAAGTCTAAAAATGTTACAGTAAGCTTTTCTCATCTCTCCTGATTTTCAGAAAGCCAGAAAGCATAAATACGGGTGCCAACATTCATATAAAAAGCAAGTCAAAAGTGTCATTCACAAACTAGAAATCAAAATCGAACATAAGTGCACAAAAACATAAAAACTTTTGTTTACTCTATGAAAATTTCATACTTCCTAAAAAAGGTGTGCGGGTGAGAAACTCAT